CCTCCAGATGGTATAATTTCTAAAGAGCTCTATTCAATTGGGTTAAAGTAAGCACTTATATAAATGTAATAGAAACTAGCCCAAATATCTTTCAAGCTAACATGATATAAGTTTTGGTAAATAAAAGTTTATTTAAGTTTGTTTGATTGAAATGGACATGTCCTCAGAGTTGTCAGCACTGGATATGTTGTAGACATGCAGCCTTTATTCTACATTTATTGGTCAAATAAGCTCATGTTGTCTCTATTATAAAACAGGTTAGCAAAAATAATAACTTAAAATGATAGCTAATTTTGTCTAATGTCTCATGAAGTTTTTATGGGTAATCTAAGCATAACTTGGAAGCAAATGACTTAGATACAAGTGATATAAAAGTTCATAGATAAACTTCTAGTAATAATTATATTTTATGGCATGTGTATTTAAAACAACTTCCAAAATCTCTTTGGTAACTTCAAACTTTGAAGTTTTGCTAGGTGAAATTAAATGATAAAAAAGTTCATTGAGGGCTAGCCCCATGGCCTCCTGGTTAAGTTTGGCATGGTTTGCTTCGGCAACCTGGGTTCAATTCCCAGGCATGGACCTACACCACTTGTTGGCAGCCATGCTGTGATGGCCACCCACATACAAAAAATAGAGGAAGACTGGCACAGATGTTAGCTCAGGGTGAATTGTCCTCAGCAAAAAAAAAAAAAATTCATTGAATATCTGGGTCATTTTCAAATAAGAAGAAATACTGAACCATTACTGCTAAACATGTCTATCTACTTTTGGCTTCTTATTACAGACAAATGAAAAGATGTTTGGATCTATTAATAAACATGTCTTGTATTTTATTAAAAGATTGTACTATAAAATAGTATGTTTCTAGAAATTATAAAAAGTATTTATAAATTTGCCAAGCTACAGAATGCTAATGTAAGAGACACTTTATAATTGCTTACTTCATAGTTTTCACTAAAAATTAAGGTCTGTAAGATTCAAAAATTCTAATTAACATGTGATTAAAACTACCAAAAATTGATAAGGAAAACATCTTGTTTTCTTTATATTCAAGGAAAGTAAGATGTATAATTTCAGTAAAGAAAGTATAAAGAATGGAAATATTTTTGTTTGTTAAGAAAGAGAAATTTGTCCTAAAATACTAGAAGGGAAAGAAAGCATGGGAAACATTCTGAATGTAAAAAGAAAATTATAGAAGGTTTTTGGAAGAGGAATCCTGAGGAAAGAATTGTGTGCATGGTCAAGTTGGCTAAGATGAAAATAAACTTAATTAAGTGAATAAGTGTTAATATCAAAAGTAAGCTGGTAAAAAATTAGAATTTGGTGTTCTCTCTCTTAAAAGGATAATTTTCTTGAACTGTCAGTCTGCTCTTTATACAGAGATTATAAAAGATTTTTCTTTACCTTTGAGTAATTCTGCCTAAAAGACAGAAATTCTATGTTTTGTCAAAATAATTTCCTATGTTCTAAAAGGCTGAAATCTCTCTATTAAGAGAACTTAGGGTTTTGGGTTTTTTTTTTCTGTTTAACTCTGTATATTTGCCTTTAACATCTTCTGTTGTCACTTGGGTTAAATGGATAACTAAGCCTTGTTTCACAGGGAGTATTGTTTGATATTTGACCAAGTGTTTTAAAGCCTTTTGATATTTTTGACAAACTTGACCAAAATTCAAACTTTGAGAATTTCCAATGGGGCCCTGGAACTTCTCAAGGAATTTGTTCTCTTTCTATAAAGAGGGAGATATTAAACTAATTAGGCTTATTTGGTATGTTAAATTACATGAGAAGCATTGCAAATAAATGACAAACCTTCTTAGGTTATATTGTGTGGATGAATGTTTATTAATATAAGTGTTTTTAAAAAAATTCTGACCCATCCTGGTTGTCAGCCATAATTCTAGTTATTATCTTAAAGTGTTGTATGTCACAGAAATAGCCAAGTTTCTCTGTCAATTTCCCTTTTTGAGTCTTCTGTCATTTGCAGATAGTTGTTGTTTTACTCCGATGTTTTTGCAGATGTACTTTATCTTCAGGGAGATTCGTGGAATGGACTCTGACACTTGCTCTAGAATGCAGGCTTCTGATAAACTTTCAGATTATAAAACTGTGCTGGATAAGAAATTACCGAACTCTATTAGAGACATTGATGGCCTCATAAAACTTCTAACAGAAGATTAAGATCAAGAATTGATTACATGGCACTGAATAAACTGATGAAGATGGTTATAATTTTTATGACTATTCATTTGAAATATTGCTGACCTTTAATGTTTTGTTTTTACAGATTTAAGGAAACCTTTTTCTCTTTTCTCTTAAGCTAACTATGACTTATAGCAATTTGGCAAAATTATATCTTTGTAAGCAAAATTGAAACATTTATTTTTTTCTCCCTACCTGAACCCTCCAGAATGGAAAGTCATGTTGAGTGAGTATTGTTATTTTCATGGCAATATAGTTATTTGCATAAGTTCAGTAAGAATCTGATCTCCTTATAGCAGGACACAATTGGAAATATTGGTTATATTACCAAGGCTTTGACTGGAATGTTATATTTGAGAGAAATATGCATAGACTCAGATATGACCAGGCAGCTTTGAGGAACAAAGACTGACTTTATGGAATAAAGACACTTGGAAATATTGGCCTGGTACCTTGCTTAAAGAGTTCCCAGCAACCTGACCAGGTGAGTAAAGAAGGTCACTTGCCTGGCCAGTGCAAGGAACCTGAGGATATTTTGGGGGGCCTCAAGAGAAGAGATGAATTCATCCAAATCTATAGGTATTGCAGGTGGAGTCTGATGACAAGTCCTTTGCTTGGTTTTCCTAGCCTTGAGAGGTCTCTAAAGTTTCATCTGAGACTCCTTATAAAAAGTTCCAGCAAAGCAGATTTAAAAGAGCATATGTGATCAATTGCTATTCCTGCTGTACTTATGTAAATAATTGGGCCAAGTTTATTGAAACTGGACTTATTTTGCAAACCAATTAGTCTTAATTTGGCTATCTTTGGTAAAAATAAGGGTGATTTTAGAGGGAAAAATTGTTTCAACAGAAACTATAATACACATTCGTGGATATCAGGTTCTAGTTCTGTTGTCTTTGAGGTGTTATTTTCTATCTGTAAACTTGACTGAATCCTGAATTCTTCTAGTCTCCTGAAATATCTGGCTACAAATCTCCAAACTAACATTTTCCATCATTTTCATTTGGAATCATTGAGAACTGAAACTGCCCTTTTTCCTGAAGCCCCGGAAAATGAAGCTGGACAACTTGATAGAAACTTATGACAGATTCATGCCTGTTGCTGTGTAAGCCACTCAGAAAGACACATGAACACATGATAACATCATCAGAGACATTTCAAACTGCAAAAGATGCTTCAACGTTGACATCTAGAAATCTTCTTGACTGGCTGCCTCCCTGGGCTCAGAAACTGGTTTATAATTTGCTCCAACCATTAACATTGTTTTTCTTTTTGTTTCTCTAGAAGTGCATCTTATTAAATACCTGGTTACTCACTTACACAATGTAGGTCTAACGTTGGGAGGCCACCTACATCATAGTCTCAGAGACTGGTTCAATGAGATGGAGAACCTTCACCCCTTATCAGCAGGAAGAAGCTAGAGCAGTCTTCACCCTATATCCCTCAAGATTGAGGAATGAACAACAAAAACGGGGGATTTGTAACCACGGGCCCTCTAGGATAAGTTAAACTGACCCCATCTTATCAACAGAATAATTAAGTGTGGTTTTTCTGGAACTGAGACCCCTTGTCCAGTTCAGGCTGCTTGGACCACCAATTCATCAACTGGGCCTGCGCAAATGCTTGATAAGTGACCTTTTTGACGTCAAGGAGCTAAAAACTCCACCCTCAGATCATGGTAACACTGCCAGTTTGTGAACAGGTGTCCTATGAAGAGCCATGAAGCTTGACTAAGCTTGTGCAGATCATCAATTACCTCACTTCTCCTTACGGCCAGTCATCTATCTCCACACTTTAGATCACACTGCCTTTCCTCCCACAAATTTTGCCACAAGTCCTGGATCAGGGAGACAGATCTGAGAGCTTATGCCCCTGTTTCCTTGCAGCTCAATCTAGCAGTAAAGCTGTTTTCTTTTCCCAAAAGCTGATGCCCTAATAATTGGCCTTTTTTAAGGCACATCAGGGGAGAGAACTCCAATTTTGTGTGGTGGTAGCAGCAGCAGCAAATAAAGCTTCCCAAGGAGCACTCCAGCCAGAGTCCACTGAGCAATTTGTCCCCCGCCTCCGCCCTCACTCGGCTCCAGGATTGGGTCGTTTCCGTCTGTCCTCGCTGTGATTGGCCGTCCTGGGCCCGGTTGAGCAGGAGATGGGGCGTGAAGTGTTGCCGCTGCCCAGGCCTCATCTCCGGTACGCCGCTCACGCAGTGAACCTTCCTGTCTAGAGAGGCGGATGAACTCCAGTTTCGAAGACCACCTTTTAGGGGCGGAGAAAAAAAGAGCCGAGCAAAGAAGTCGAGTCTCTTCCGCTGAGAGGAGGGCTCTGCCGCCGCGCCGCGCCGCCGTGACGACATCCTTCCGCTCCTGAAGCCGAGCGTCCTCAGCGGCGGGTGGCGGGCGCCTGCGCAGTGGCTCCGAGTGGGCGGTTGCTGGTTGGTGGTTGTAGTAACGGGGGAAGCAGCCGTCGGTGGCGGCCGTGAGCCCGCCTGGGGAAGGAGGACGGAGGTAAGGGAAGAGCGCGGTCCCCGCCTGCCCGCCCGAGCCATGGGAAGATGAGACGGGTAAGCGCCTGCGTCCGCGCGCCCTCCTGCCGAGCGCGGTGCGCTCCCGGGTCTGGGCGGCCCCGGCGGCTGCGCTTCCCTCTGAGTCCGGGAGCAGCTGGTGGCTTCCGGGCGCGCCGGGCTGAGTCGCGGCGGCGGAGTCGCCCGGTCCTTCCCCTGGGGAGCATCTGCGACCTGCCTGGGGTTGGGGTGAGCCGAGGTCGGGCTGAGGGGCTGATCCCGTGAGGGCGAGGACGCTCCTGGGGCGAGTGTCCTTAATCTTCTTCCGATCGTCCTGTCTGTCCCCGCTCTGCCGGCGGCCTGGGACGGGTCGGCACCCCTTCCTCGCTTGCAGATTTTGTTTTGCTTCAGCTTAAAGGACATCCCAGCATTTTGGGAGAGATCGAGAAATCCCGTTGGGAATCCTCGGAAGAACGCCTTTGAGGTGGTTAGATCTTCAGCTCATTCCGCTGAAGATCTGTAGGGATCGTTATCGGGATCGGCGTTTTTTTGTCCTGTTAACAATCTAATCTTATCGTATATGTGAATGGATAGAAAAGGTTTGGAAAGATTGACATCAGGTGGTTATCTCTGAGCAATGGGATTACGGTTATTTAAATATTTTCATTTTCTTTATCAGTCATTTCTATTCCTTCCTGTCACACACATAACGAATATGTACTTTTCTCCAATGGAAAATATATTTTAAGTTAGAAATGGGAATATTCTAATTTTAATGACTGAGATTCAGATGATAGTTTGTGATTTTTAGTAAGGGAGAAAAATTTTTGAGAGTGTTTGGAAGGACAGTTTATTCCCCAGCTATTTATTACCTTGATTCAGTAGAATATATTAATCTTTTGGTTCAGTGGTTGGATTTGTTTTAGTGGAAACATGAGGGCGTTTTACTTGTGTGCTTGTCATAGAGTCGAAAGTATTTTCAAGGATCTTAAATCTTGAGTTTTTATTTTTAACCCAGGTCCAGTTTTTCTAGCAAGGAATCTGTTTTAGGCAGTCATCCACTTACCTCAGGCTTCTCTGAAAGTTAAGTAAATCTATCCTTTTGGTGCGTGTTAGATATAGTATATAAAAGAAAAATGAGAAACTCAAACTTAATAACAGCTCTTCAAATACATAGAGGACAGACAGTACGTTTGGGAAAAAAATCTTGATTTTTCTGGCGTATGTGAGGGACTGTGATAGAAAGTAAGCTTCTAGAGGCTGGGCACCATTTAGGTAAATATTCATTTTTATTACTTGAAGATTATCAGCAATAATCAACAAATAGACAACTGTATTATGTTTCAGATCATTTGGCTTTCTTACAGGAATCAGTGCCACCCAAATTGATTGACCCAGTGAATCTGCAAGGAAAGGTCTCTGAGGCCCCCGTCTGCTGACTGTATGACAACCCCTAAAGGAAATGCCAGTCGTGATGGCCCGGGACCTGGAGGAAACAGCATCATCCTCAGAGGATGAGGAGGTGGTAAGCCAAGAGTAAGTAATAGCAAGCCTGCTTTTGACCCTTTGCCTCTAGGATGGAAAATAGTTCTCTTTTACTCATATACTCTTTTACCGAATATCCTTCCTTTACTATTGTCTGCCTCTGGTTTTAGCTTCTATCCATGATCTAATTCAAGATCTTATTCTGTCTCCATCAGCTATCTGAAATGACATAAGGCTCTGGGCTCATAAGTGAACTCAGGCTCATGAATGAACATCGGTTCTAGACGTTGCAGGTAGTAGCTCTTAGTAAAAACTCTTAATCAGAGCTCCTACCATAGGAGATTTTGAAATTTTTAGATATTGAAGAAAAATAGATCTCCAAACTCTTGTGACATTGGTTATGTTCATAAGCCTTTACAGTGATGGAATGATGATAATATAGAGGTTAGGTGACTTCCCAGAGTAACTGTGGGGCAGGACATTAGAATTCTGTAGCCTGTGCTGTGTCTATTGGACCACATTGCTTTCCTGAGTTCTTTTAGGTAAGAGTCATGTTTCTTGATTGCTGGATTCTCATAATAAAAATGAATGATAGTGATAAGTGCAGCTGCTATAGATGATGGTAAGGGCTTTAACTACTGTATCTCATTTAATCTGAAGATGTTATTATTCCCACTTTACTAAACTGAGACTCACAAATATCAGAGTACTTCCTAAGGGGCGCATAGAGAGTATGTGAAGGATTGAGATTCAGACCTAATTTTCCTGGATTTTGAAGCACTTTGCAGTTTTGCCTCCCTTAATGTTATTACTTGACACAGAGAACAAAGAGACTGGCTTAAAATTAATATTAGTTTTAAGATTCTCTGTGAGTCCCCTTGGATATGTGTGTGTTGTCTAACCTGAGAAATGGGCATAATATCTCCAGGCTATTTTGTAGGCGTATGGTGAGGATCAAATAGAAGAATGTGTATGAAATTACTTTGTAAATTATAAAGTGCCATACAAATGTAAGGCATGATTCTAACTGGCTTTAATATTGAATTTAAAGTGGAATTCTTATCATAAAGTGGAAGATTCCATTATTTAATATGACTTGAAAAAAATTATTGAAGCATTAATAAAGCTTTAAGGAGAGGCTTCTCATCACTGTTAGGCTGTAGAAAATAATAGAGATTGGACCATATATTTGGATCATTCTCATTCAGGATAATTAAATGGGTAATTCCCTTTGGCCACTTTGCTTTCTTGAGATTTTTGCTTTCTGTGTGCCACTTTACCCATTTTACGAAATTTTTAACTTCTGCTGCAAGCATCCATCTTTCTGATTTCAAGATAATGATTTACTCCATGAATCTCTCTGTTATTAGTGGGCCTAGAGGTTAAGCCTGACAAGTATTAGATTGCACTACATGAAATTGCTATTTTGATAGGTCAAAAACAGTCAAATATTGGGGCTGGCCCGATGGCGTAGCAGTTAAGTTCGCACACTCCACTTCGGTGGCCTGGGATTCTCAGGTTCGGATCCCAGGCGCGGACCAATGCACTGCTTGTCAAGCCATGCTGTGGTGGCGTCCCATATAAAGTAAAGGAAGATGGGCACAGGTGTTAGCCCAGGGCCAATCTTCTTCCTCAGCAAAAAGAGGAGGAGTGGCAATGGATGTTAGCACAGGGCTAATCTTCCTCACAAAAAAAAAAAAATTAAAAATAGAAATACCATACAACTCAGCTATTCCACTACTGGGTATTTATCCAAAGAACATGAAATCAAACATTCAAAGAGACTTACGCACCACTATATTCATTGCAGCATTATTCACAATAGCCAAGGCATGGAAGCAACCCAAGTGCCCATCCACTGATGAATGGATAAAGAAGATGTGGTATATATACACAACGGAATACTACTCAGCCATATAAAAAGACAAAAACGTCCCATTTGCAACAACATGGGTAGACCTTGAGGGTATTATGTTAAGTGAAATGAGCCAGACAGAGAAGGACAAACACCACCTGATTTCACTCATATATGGAACATAAACACATGGACAAAGAGAACAGATTAGTGATTACCAGAGGGGAAGGGGGTTGGCGGGTGTGCATAAGGACTAAAGGGGCAAAATATGTGGTGACTGAGAAATAATAATGTACACCTGAAATTTCACAATGTTATAAACTATCATGACCCCAATAAAATAATAAAAAAAAATCAACAGCAGGACTTTGAAAGGAAGAAGAGCAAAAGGTCCATGAATTTGGATTGGGGGGAGTAGTGGGGATTACACCTTTGTTTTCACTAACTTCTACTAGAAATTTAGCATTTCTCAATTATAAATATAGGCAACAAAGCACAGCAGTGTTAGCGTTATCTGTGCCGTTGGCTCTACCTGAAATTACAGATTTTTTATATCATTTTACAGTTGTTGCCGATATCTCAAAATGTCATTTACATTTATCACTACTTCTGAGTTATGGTAGATATTAAACTTGCCACTAGATCACCTGTGATCACAGTCGTCCTCCTCTGCTGTGATGAGGCTGGACAATAATCTGGCAACTCTGCCTCAAGCCACCAAATGGTGACATCTCACATTGGTGGTCCAGACATCTATGATGCTTCCCAGTATTCCCCACTTATAAGTGTTAATCAAAGACCACCCTAGAGTGTGATGATTTTATGCAAACTAAGCAAAAACAGTCTTCCTGCTACTGTCTTTAGAAAATAAAATTTAACCTTCCACTGTTTTAAATGAATCATCTTGTTATTTAATATAGTAATAAGAAAGCATATATTACTATATCACAAGTTTGTTTTTGTAATTTTGATAACTGCGCTTCAATGTAATTGGTATTCTTTGTAATATGTATTTTATTTTAAGCCCTTAGAAATGTTATTCTGATAGGGATTCATGGCACTAAAAAGGCTAAGAACCCATGGATCTAAGGTAATCTAAAGCATAAAGTCTCCATCCATTCATTCATTCAGTCATTCATTCAGTCAGCAAGTATTTATTGAGAACCTACCATAATACTAGGTTGAACCATCTGAAATTGTCAATATTTGACTTTTTTCTTTTGTTTCCTTTGTCCAAGTAGACATGGTATTCAAAAAGATCCTTCTAAGACCAATGTCAAAGAGTGTACTGTCTATATTTTCTTCTAGGAGTTTTATGGTTTCAGGTCTTACATTCAAGTCTTTAAACCATTTTGAGTTAATTTTTGTGTATGGTGAAAGATAATGGTCTACTTTTAACCTTTTGCATGTGGCTGTCCAGTTTTCCCAACACCATTTATTGAAGAGACTTTCCTTTCTCCTATGTATGATCTTGGCTCCTTTGTCAAAGATCTGCTGTCTGTAGAGGTGTGGTTTTATTGCTGGTCTTTCAATTCTGTTCTATTGATCTGTGTGTCTGTTCTTGTACCAGTACCATGCTGTTTTGATTACTCTAGCTTTGTAATACATTTTGAAATTTGGGATTGTGATGCTTTCAGCTTTGTTCCTTTTTCTCAGGATTGCTTTAGCTATTTGGGGTCTTTTGTTGCCCCATATGAATTTTAGGATTCTTTGTTCTATTTCTGTGAAGAATGTCATTGGGATTCTGATTGGGATTGCATTGAATCTGTAGATTGCTTTAGGTAGTATGAACATTTTAACTATATTTATTCTTCCAATCCATGAGCATGGAATATCTTTCCATTTCTTTATGTCCTCATCAATTTCTTTCAATAGTGTCTTTTTTTTTTTTAATATTTTATTTATTTATTTATTTTTCCCCCCAAAGCCCCAGGAGATAGTTGTATGTCATAGCTGCACATCCTTCTAGTTGCTGTATGTGGGACGCAGCCTCAGCATGGCCAGAGAAGCAGTGCATCGGTGCGCGCCCGGGATCCAAACCCGGGCCGCCAGCAGTGGAGCATGTGCACTTAACCGCTAAGCCATGGGGCCGGCCCTCAATACTGTCTTATAGTTTTCATTTTGTAGCTCTTTCACCTCCTTGGTTAAATTTATTCCTAGATATTTTATTCTTTTTGTTGCAGGTGTAAATGGCCACAAAAGATGCTTGTATTCTTGCGTTCTCTTTCTGTTAGTTCGTTATTAGAGTATAGAAATGCAACTGATTTTGTAAGTTGATTTGGTACCCTGCAACTTTGCTGTAGTTGTTGATTATTTCTAATTGTTTTCCAGTGGATTCTTAAGGGTTTTCTGTATATAAAATCATATCGTCTGCAAATAGTGTGACTTGCACTTCTTCATTGCCTATTTGGACTCCTGTTACCTCTTTTTCTTGCCTAATTGCTTGCCTAATTGCTCTGGCCAAAACCTCCACTACTATGTTGAATAAGAGTGGTGAGAGTAGGCACCCTTGTCTTGTTCCTGTTCTCAGAAGGATGGCTTTCTGTTTTGAGCATTAAGTTATGATGTTGGCTGTGGGTTTGTCACATATGGCCTTTATTATGTTGAAGTACTTTCCTTCTATACCCATTTTATTGAGAGTTTTTATCGTAAATGGATGTTGGGTCTTGTCAAATGCTTTCTCTGTGTCTTTATTCCTCATTTTGTTAATGTGGTGTATCACATTGATTGATTTGCAGATCTTGAACCATCCCTGTGTCCTTGGTATAAATCCCACTTGGTCATGGTGTATGATCTTTTTAGTGTATTGCTGTATTCGGTTTTTTAATGTATTGCTGTATTCAGTTTGCCAATGTTTTGTTGAGGATTTTTTCATCTGTGTTTATCAGTGATATTGGCCTGTAATTTTCCTTCTTTGTGTTGTCCTTGTCTGGCTTTGGTATCAGGGTGATGTTGGCCTTGTAGAATTTGTTAGGATGTATTCTGTCTTCCTCAATTTTGGGGGATGTTTGAGAAGGATAGGTATTAAGTCTTCTTTCAATTTTTGGTAGAATTCTCCAGAGAAGTCATCTGGTCCTGGATTTTTATTTTTTGGGAGGTTTTTGATTACTATTTCAATCTCTTTATTTGAGATTGGTCTATTCAGATTCTCTATTTCTTCTTGGTTCAGTTTTGGGAGGTTATATGAGTCTAAGAA